GCAGGTGTTACAGGTATTATTGTCCCTTTTTTACAGATGAGGAGACTGAGGCCCTGGGAAATGAAGCCACTTGCCCATGTTCACACTTAGCAAGTGTCAGTCAGGATTTGATAGGTCTTCCTGATTCCAAGTCCAAAACCCCATCCACTATGACTTTTTTTTTTTAGTATTTCAAACCACAGCATGAGAAAAGCCTGTAGTGATACGTGACCCAGGCTAATTTCAAGAAATCGATAGCTTATGTCCTTGTGGCAGTGAGACCTTACATGTTAATCACAACATCTGCTTCCCCAGTGATGGAGACCTTCTCCATAAGACTAACAGACGTAAGGAAGATTCAGAAGAGGGCAGGGTAAGAGACCCCACCCAGCAACTTCTGTCATCGTTGCCAGGAGGCGACAGTAGTTTCGGTCCCTTCAGAACATCCATTTCCCAGAAGAAGGATCTGATTTGTAAAACTAGTGTTGGGGTTCAACCACTAACCAGATACAGGAAGCCCTCACCTATCAGCAGCGTACTGTGGAAGGGAAGTGGAATGTGCAGCCGGAGGTTCTGACTTCATTTGTCTGTGTGACGCTGTGCACCTCAGTCATTCTCTGTTGGCCGCTGTTTCCACATCTATGAAATGAAAGGGTTTGGTCTGTACAGCTTCTAGGGTTCGTTTTAACTCTGAATCTATCATCCTTTGGCTCTGAACGAAGGAAGCTTCCTCAAGTGTGGCCCACGGTTCCCTGCCTTATGAAACCAAGTGACACTCATTCATTAAATGCCTTGAGGGAAGGATCAGTGTTCTTACATCAGTCATTGCCTTGTGAATGCTCGTCTCTGCACCTTGTGCTTTCAGGGAGTTTAGGGGGTTTTGTCTTTCTGTTCTGTAGCTATAGACTGGGAGTTTTATGGTCTTCTTCCTTAGAATCACAGATTTCAAGCTCAGAGGGCCAGCAGAGATCTTAGGGTCCTACACTCTCAGTTTACAGATAGGGAAACTGAGGCCCACCATATATGAGTAGCAGAACCTCAATGAATACCCAGGCCTTAGGACTCCAAATTCAGACCTCTTTCTTCTATGCCCTACTGGCCTTTCTGATTTTCTGCTTCTGGTCAGAGAATAATAGATTTAGAATGGGCAGGGATCTTGGAGGTCAGTTAGTCCAACCCCCTCATTTTAGAGAGAAGGAAACAGGCCCAGAGAGGTTGAGCAACTCACCCCACATCACACAGCTAGTGAAGAGCAGAGCCAGATCTGATGGCAGACGCAGTGCTGTTTCTGTCCTGCCGTCATGCAAAAGGCCAGGCTTCAATGGCCTGGAAAATCAGATTTCTCATTAGAATTTTGCCTAAAATATGAGTGAAGAGTAAGAGCCTGGTAAGGTCTCCTGTGTATACAGTGAGTGAGATTCGGGACATCCCCTTTTGATTCCCAGGCAGTTTTTTTTTCTACTCTTGGAGTTTTCTACCACATTGAAAATCATTCCAGTTAAATGGCTTTGGGGTCAACAAAGTTTGAATAAGAGTATTCTCTGGCTTAACAAAGACCCTGGGCTTTGACTCCCAGGGTGAGTCTCACTGGAGGACTCCGTGCGTCCCTGACTTCCCAAAGTCTCACCACTCTCCAAGCCATTCTGAGGTAAGTTTCTTTGAAGGTCATCACTTAGAGTCATTCCCATCTGTCCTGGTCCATCCCTCAAGCACCTTCAGAAGTAAAAGGAAACAAGTCTAGGTCATAGTTTATACACTCTGGCCATTCCCCAAGGCAACGGTGAGTGAGCCTTCGTTGGAGTCTTGGCTTGGCTTTGAACTAGTCGAGTGGGCTTGGGAGAGTCATTCCTACCTCATTCCCCCTCCCTCCTGAAATGAGTCCTTTGGGCAAAATGGTCCCTAAGGGCTTATCCAGCTCTTCCCATTTGGTGTTGTTTTCCCAGACATCCTTTCCACATTCTTGGCCCCTGCATCCACTGCAGAAGCCTCTGCCCCATTTCCTGTCTTAAGCCACGAGAACTGAGAATTCCTTCAACTGTTCCAGCTGTGTGCTTTATGTAAGAAGGTTGAGTCCCACTCTCCTTGGCCAGAAAAGAAAAGGCACTCTGACCATATTAGTGAAGAGGAATTGAGCCCTGGGATGGAGGCAGTGGAAATTTACAAAGATGCCTTAAGGAAGAAATGACTTACAGTCTTTTGATTTCTTGAAAGATCCTACACGGGGGTGTTTTGTCTTGTGGCATAAAAATAATAGCTGACCTTTTTTGGAGCCCCTTAAAATTTGGGCAGCTAGGTGGCACAGTGGGTTGAGTATGGGCCTGAAATCAGGAAGACTCATCTTCCTGAGTTCAAATCTGGCCTGCAACACTTCCTAGCTCTGTGACCCTGGGCAAGTCATTTAACACTGCCTCAGTTTCCTCATCTGTACAATCAGCTGAAGAAGGGAATGGCAAACCACTCCAGGATCCTTGCCAAGAAAACCCCAAATGGGATCACATCGAGGTGGACATGACTGAACAACCAAAAAATTGACAAAGCACTTTTTATTTATTACCTGTCTTCTTTGACCCTCCCAACAACCCTGTGGGGTAGATATCACTGACATCACTATTCTCGTTTCACAGATAAAGAAACTGAGTCTTAGAGACAGCATGTCTTGTTCATCATCACTGTTCAGTATCAAAGGTAGAATTAGAACCCAGGTCTTCGTAAAGCATGTGCACATGCAGACAACATTCTTATTACTGGTCATTCTCTGGTGCCTGAAATACACCTCTTTCTCATTTCCAACTCAAGGCCTCCCAGTGCTTAGCACCACGCCTGGCACACGGGAGCACATGCTTGGCGCATGCTTTTTCATTAAAATGCATGTTGAATGACTCCATTCAAATGCCACCTTTGACACCCGGTCTTGCTTGTCCCCATTGCCAGGAAGCCCCCTCCCTAATTGCACTGTATTTATTTGATATCCATTCTGCATGTATGTAAATATGTCCACGGCATCACCCCGAAGGGGTGGGAGCTCTTTGAGTGTAGGGATTGTTTCATCATTTAATCATGTAGTGCAGTGCCTGGCACTTAGGAGGCACCTGTTAATGGATAGCTCTAGCTGCTACCCCATGGGGGAAGATGTTCTGCTTAGACAGAACGCCTTGCATGTCCCTAGCTGCAATGGTGGTCCTACTTCTGTGTCCTGCCCTGCTCTGGCCTCACCAGCCCTTAAGTTCAGCAATGCCATCAGTTAGGTCAAGTTCTTCATCTTTGGGGCTCCACTGTATGACAATGACCAAGGGCCAGGCTCAGTGATCTGTGAAGGCAATGACAGATCCGAGGGCTGGAGCTGGTCTGGAATCCTCCTTGGGCTTTTTCCTACCCAAGCAAGATCCTACTGGCTCCCATTTCCTGTAAACAGCAACAAAGGCCAAGACTTTGGGTCTATGGAAGGAACATAGGAAGACTTGCCTAGGCCTGGAAGCCCTTGGCATCTTCAGAACAGCAGCTAATGAGACCTTGAGGGGGTGGGAAAGTGACTCATTTTTAAAGAATCTGCCTTCTGGTATTCTAATAGGGTTAGTGTGAAGTGATGAAAGGGGGAAATCTGATGGGATTTTTTCCACTGACTTGGATTTTCTAAACAAGTGTTGGGGTGGAGTGGGACTTTTTTTTTTTTGGTTGCTGTTTTCTCTGTGTTCCTTTGGTGGGTAAGGACACGGCATAGCATTGTGGGTAGAAGGTAAGCTTCCAAGGCAAAAAGACAGGTTCAAATCCAGCCTTTAATACAGTCTTGCCACATGATCCCAGCCAGTCAGTTCCCCCCAGGAAACTCCCTAAGGCTCTAAATCCAATTTAATAATAATTATGAAGTGCCTACTATGTGTCTAGCACCATACTAGGTTATGGGGATGCAAAGAACAAGATATAGCTTCTGCCCTCAAGGAGCTGGCGTCCTATTGGGAGGAAACGATATGTCCACAGATAGTCGCTCCCCCACACTCAGGCCCAATATCTTCATCTGTAAAATAAGGATGGACTAGGTGCCCTCTAGGACCCATTTCTATGTCTTGATTTCTGATCCTGTAACTAAATCCAAGACAAATCCCGACTGGATTTCTTTAGCTGTTCTTCCATGGGGAAAGATGTCCATTCTGCCACAAGTAATTTGGAGAGCACAAGGACAACAACGGGAGGGCTTGGGAAAGGCCTCTGGGAGGAGCTGAGGAGGTGGGAGCCTGAGGGGAGGAGGGAGAGCACTGCAGGGCTGGGGAGGAGGGACAGCCTAGGCAAAGACACAGGAGAGGCCAAACGTGGAGGAACAGGTGGCATGTGTCTGCTGCATGAGGACAGCCGGAGAATACTGTAGCCAGCCACACCCACTGAGCTGCTTTCTCAGCTGGTTTTCCTCCTCAGTGAGGAGTCCATGTGACAGTGACAAGCATGGTCAGTCAGTTTAAGGACGTTGTTTCCAAAGTAGGCCCTCCCTGCACCGATAGATACTGCAGTCCCTGCTGTGACGGCAGGTGGGCTTTGAGAATGGACACTTGAGGTTGATTTCCCAGAGCCAAGATTTGAAGCCAGGTCCTGGGGCTCCAATTTCTATGCTCTTTCCACAGTCCTGGAAGGGCAGCTAGGTGGCTCAGTGGATAGAGCACCAAGCCTAGAGTCAGGAAGACTCATCTTCCTGGTTCAAATCTGTCCTCAGACACTTCCTAGCTGTGTGACCCTGGGAAGTTATTTACCCCTATTTGCCTCAGTTTCCTTATCTGAAAACATGAGCTAGAGAAGGAAATGGCAAACCGCTTCAATATCTTTGCCAAGAAAACCCTAAATGGGGCCATGAAGAGTCAAACATGACTGAAAAATGATTAAATGTCCTGAGTTGCCTCTTGGCTGTTTTAGAGGGGATTTGTGCTCAGGCCTGCGTTGGACTCTGAGTTCTCTTCCAGCACAAAGATTCTGAGGCTCTGTTAGTTATGCTTTGCCTTCTACATTTGAAGGGCTCCTGCTGTTTTATCTTTTTACAGGAGACTGAAGCAAGATGGACTTGGAGATCATGGTCTTTCACACTGGGAGCAGCAGAGGACAGCCGAGGACAGCATACAGCCTGGAAGTACCAGTATAGAACAAGAAAGCTCATGCAGTCTGTGCCACCAATTTCCTTAATGTTCCCCCAGGCAAGTCATGAAGTCTCCCTGGGCTCAATTTTTCTCACTTTGAAAATGAGTAGACTTTATGCGCCACTCTTGTTTTTCAAGCTGAGATGCTGTAGTTTTCTGAACATCTGCTCTGCATTGCTCTACTCTGGTGTTCTCTACAGGGTAAATCACAGGCGGTGTTTTTTATGAGGGGGAAGAGGAGAGAAAAATTGGGAATCATAGGAACATAGATTAAGAACCTTAGGACCTTAGAAATCTGCCTTCATTTTATAGTGAGGAAACAGAAAGATTCAGAGAGTTTAAGTGATTTGCCCAGGGTCGCACAGTAAGGCCTAACGCAGGAATTAGACCAGGTTTTGCTGATTCAGAAGTCCAGCTCTCTATTGCCTCTTGATTTAGTCATAGAATCATAGAGCATCAGGGTTGGAAGGAGTCTCAGAGATGAGCAAACCCAGCCCATGCCTGGCCAATACTGTCTATAATATCTGATAAAGAGGTAAAGAACATCAAGGAGCAGTGGATTAGCAGAGTTGGTTGCTGTTACATAGCAGCATTGGGCTGGGGAACCCGTGACACCAAGGCCACATCTGGCTGGCCCTGGAGAACAGAACTAGGAACAGAGTGTGGAAATTGTCATGAGGCCACTTTAGGCTGGATAGCAGGAAGAACTTCCTATCATTGAGAGCTGACCAGAAAGAAATGGGCTGCCTCTAGAGGGGGATGAGTCCCCTCTCCTCTAAGGGCTCTGAGCAGAGCTTTGGTGGCTACCTGCTGGGTAAATCATAGTGGGGATCCATTTGGGGGTACATGTTGTACTAGATGGGCACTGAGGTCCCTTCCAATTCTAGAATTTTCTGACTCTGTAAAATTGAGGCATAATTCCAAAGCACTGGCTTTTGGAGTGAAAAAAAAAAGATTTGAAATCTCACTTTTGTCATTTAATAGCTGTATGACCTTGGACTTACCCTCCCGAGGGCTCAGTTTCCTTATGTGTAAAATAAAGAAGTTGGACTCGGTGACCACTAAGATCCCTTCTAGCCCTAGATCTGCGATGCTATGAAGTTTACCTATATGTAATCTTATGTAATATATTTCAACATCTCTGACTTCCCAGATCAAGGCATCGTCCTTGGCCACCTTCCCCATCATTTGTATTTTCTTCCCTCATTAGAACGTGGTCTCCTGAAGAACAGGAACGATCTTGACTTGGTATTTGTGTCTTTAGTGCTTGACAGACTAAGCGTTACTGAATGTTTTGTCAATCACTCATTTGTTCACTGACTCAACATGGATAAACACTACATTTTCTCAAAGTGATGGTGGCTGGGTAGCCATCATGTTTTTTATTTCATTTAATTTAAATCTTTCTCAATTACATGTAAACAAAAATTTTTAACATTCATTTTTTTAAAAATTGAGTTTCAAATTCTCTTCTCTCCCCCACCCCAAGAAGGCAAGCAATTTGATACAGATTATACATGTGCAGTCATGTAAAACGTTTCCATGTTACCCATGTTACAAAAGAAAATGCAGACCAAAAAAACAAGAATAATAAAGAAAGTTTTTTAAAAGTATGCTTTAACCTGTATTCAGACTCCATCGGGTCTTTCTCTGGGCGTGGGTAACATTTTTCATCATGTGTCGTTCGGATTGATCTTGGATCATTGTATTGCTAGGAATAGCTAGGTCATTCACGGTTGATCATTGTGCAATATTGCTGTTACTGTGTACAATGTGTGCTCACTTCACTCTGTATTAGTTCACGTGAGTCTTCCCAGGACTTTCTGAAAGCATCCTGCTGGTTATTTTTTAATGGCACAATAGTGTTCCATCACGATCATATACCAAAACTCATTTAGCTATTCCTCAATCGATGGACATCCCCTCCATTTCCAATTCTTTGCCGCCACAAAAAGAACAACTAGAAATATTTTTGCACACGTGGGTCCTTTTCCTTAAAAAATCTTTTGGGGATACAGACCTAGTAATGGTATTGCTGGATTAAAGGATATGCACAGTTTTGTAGCCCTTAGGACATAGTTCCAAATTGCTTTCCAGAATGATTGGATCAGTTCACAACTCCACCAACAGTGCTTTAGTGTCCCTGTTTTTCCACATCCTCTACAACATATGCCATTTTTTTTTTTGTCAATCTGATATGTGGTACCTCAGAGTTGTTTGAATTTGTGTTTCTCTAATTAACAGTGATTTGGAATATTTTTTCATGTGACCATAGATAGCTTTAATTTCTTCATCTGAACGCTGCGTGTTCATATCCTTTGGCCATTTATCAATTGGGGAATGATTCATATTCTTAGAAATTTGACTCCATTCTCTGTATACTTGAAAAATGAGGCCTTTATCGGAGAAACTTGCTGTGAAAAAATTTTCCCTCTGTCCGGTTTCCCTTCTAATCTTGGCTGCACTGGTTTTGTTTGTGTAAAATCTTTTTAATTTGACACGACCGAAATTATCCATTTTATATCCCATAGTGCTCTCTGTCTCTTGCTTGCTCATAAATTCTTCCCTTATTCATAAATCTGACAGGTAAAATATTCCATGCTCCCCTAATTTTCTTATATTACCCTTTATGTTTAAATCATGTACCCATTTTGACCTTATCTTGGTATACAGTATGAGATGTTGGTCTACTATACATTCCCAAAGTGGGTGCAGTGGAATGATCCAGGGGGGGAAGTAGTAGCCTCGGGTGCAATTAGGGGGCATTGAATAAAAATAAGAAAGAGAAGAAGAGAAGAAAGTACAATAGTTTGAAAAAACGCTCATACATGTTTCATCTGTTATATAACAGAGTTAAAGTTGCAGTGATTACATTATATTCCAAATAAACACACAAAATGCAAGTTATAATCAATCAGTGGTCAAGTCCACCAATGGGTCTTAACAAGCAAGTGTTTACAGTCATGTGATGCAATATTGCATCATCAAAGTTTCAATACAGGAAAAAACCACAAATTTACAATAAATTATTAAATTTAAGATGTATCATTTTTTAAAAATATTTTTAAATGATGCAAATTTTAAAAAAATGCTAAAGGGTTAAAGAAAGTAGATTTTCAAGAGGGCACTGAATAATTTTTTTAAAGGGGGTAGTAGGCCAAATAAGTTTGGGAGCCTCTGGCCTATACCTAGTTTCTGCTATACTGCTTTCCAGTTCTCCCAACAGTTTTTGCCAAATACTGAATTCTTGCTAAAATCTTGGATCTTTGGGTATATCAAATACTAGATTATTATGGTCATTTACTACTTTGTAGTGTATTTTTTTTTATCAATGCCTTAGAAAAAAGCTCATCAAATTTGTAGCTGGTGCAAAGCTGGGAAGGCTGACGTATATGTGATAGATAGCAAAGTCAGAACTCAAAATTTTAATAGGCTGGGGGCATTGGATTGAATCCAATAAGATGAAATTGAAAAAAGATAAATGTAGTATTACATTGGCACTTAGATTCCAAAAAATCAACCATACAAGTGTGAGATGAGGGAAACAGGACTAGATAGTGATTAATCTGAAAAAGATCAGGGGGTTTCAGTGGTCGGTAATCTTGATATGAGTCAACAATGACATGCAAGAAAGCTAATATGATGCTATGGAAGAAGTCATGCTATGTTGCCCCTGTCTTCTCCAGGCTAGACAGCCTCATTTCCTTTACCCCATCTTCACATGGCATAGACTGGAAGCCCTTCACCATTCTGGCTGCCTTCTACTAACCAATTACCATCTTGCTGATGTCCTTCCTAAATCATAGGTCCCGGGACAGAACTCACGTTTATAATATCTGTAAAATGAAGACTTGATCTAGTTGACTTCAAAGGTTCCTTCTAGCTCTGACATTCTATGAATCTTTTTTATAATGCCAGTAACCCTGGAGGAGACAGTCTTTGAGCCAATCCCAGGCCTTTAACAACAGAGATTAGTTGTGCTATACTTACACTTAGCATTAATAAAAGCTGGCCTTTGCATTAAGAACCACATTCAATGGTTCAAACGAACAAACAAAACCTTCCAAAGCTGAATGTAACCTTAAATCCCCCAAGGTAGAACACTGGTAGATGATGTGGAATTTGTCCAGCAGGTCTCATTTCCCCTAAGAATCCTCAAGAAAATAGCAAAAGCTTCATGGAAAGCTGAATGGCCCCTGGGAGAAAAAGTTCTAAGCAGGATAAATTAAATTATCATTTCCCAAGCTAGAGCTAGAAGAACAGGAGGGAAACGACTCCCTAGATTCTTGGGAGAGCAGAGCCCATGGAAAAACAATCTGCTTATCACCTTGTCAAATCCCATGGAAGGAAACACTCTCCAATGTCTCTGTGGGTTTTCTTGCTTCTTGGTCAAATCCTGCCCTAGAGAAGAACTGCTTTGGGCCAATCAGTCTATAATCGGTGCACAGATACTTCCAGCGACCCCATGAAACTCACTGACACTTCTTATTTATGTGAACCTGAATCAATTATGAGTCAGTTAGCTATTATGAACTTCAGTTTATTCCTCTGTAAAGTGGGGATAACAGTATCTGTTGTTTGTCCTTCTTGAAAAGAACTATGACATCAGGAAGGTGATGTCATGACTCAAAAGTGAATTGGATCTAAATTAATCAGGGCTGTGCAAAGTCACCACTCTCACTCTCTCCTCTGGAGCCATCTAGGTCCAGTGGCAAGATATAGATCGGGATGACTGGAGATGGTCCCCATGCAGTGGGAGACCTTGACCTTTTTAAGCTAAGGTCTTTCACAGGTGTCAGTTTGTCTGAGGCAACACCCCTTCAGTAATTAAGGTGAGGTAAGAAGAAATGAGACAAAAAATGACCTCTTTTATCTACTAAAAAAAAATTCAATCTGATTGGGAAAGACCCTCAGGCTTTCTGGCCAAAACAGAAACAATTGCTATTTACACTCACTCTAAGCCATCAGAGGCCAATGATCAAATGAGGCTTGGGCTGGGACCTATTATTGGCCAATCAGTGAGAGCCAGAGTGATTTGGGTTTAAGGCATGGTCCTTAAAAAAGAAGTCTAGCCCCCAAACTCCAAGATATCTTGTGAGGTTTCAGTGATCAACATTTATATTCTTTTGGGAAGAGCAACTAAAGGTAAGGGTATGATTCCTTGTGTGGACAGAGGGAGAAGAAGAAGGAAGGAAGGAAGGAAGGAAGGAAGGAAGGAAGGAAGGAAGGAAGGAAGGAAGGAAAGAAAGAAAGAAAGAAAGAAAGAAAGAAGCGAGGGAGAGAGGGAGTTGTTTTGCCCAGCTGGAACTGACCAGTTGGGTCTCCAGCAGGGCAGCT